ATCGAATAAATAGCAAAGGTGATAAAAAGACCACCAAAGCCAAAATATTTTCCAACAAATGGTAAAGACAAAAATGTAAATATAATACATATGTTACATAAAACCATAATCCTATGATGTACTTCCCATCTATCTGCAAAGATCTTTTAATCGAATATTTCAAATTAATTAATTATACTTTGGTTAATTTATATTATAATTAGTTAGAATAGATTGAATCTTACACTCCAACAAGACGAACTAACGAGTCCCATAAATGGTATCACTGAAAATAGTACACCGATGAGTGGTTTTGGTAATAGAAGATCAGTTGATAAAAACAAACTAAGGAAAGAACATGAAGCATAAGCAGCACACATGAAAAAATAACATAGTTTTAATCTAATATAACGAAATGTCAAAAAAGATAGTGCATGTTGTAGCGTTTCTTTTTGACTTCGATTAGGATCGATCAGAGAATAAGCACCTCGAGAAGATAAGAGAGAATTGAAAAATGTTTTGAGTGTCATTTTTGTTTTTATCAAATAGCCAACAGTTTCATACACGAATTAAGCCTAAAACTTCAATTAAGTTAAAAATCATTATAAATATTCGATAATTACAATGCTAATCAAAACATGAAAACTGATTAATCTTACGTACAGTACTAGAACGCGCAGGTAGAGTTCGTTTTTTAGGCAAAATATGCAGGTTTGTGACGAATAATGTTTTTTTTAGAAGTAAAATTGCCTTCCTGACACTTTTAATTAATGCTTCGCTTTGTTCTGTTTCGTCGGGGATGATCAAATTTTCACAATATTGATTGGTTGATCATCACGCGCCGAGATCTACCTATGATCACTAAGGAACCCGGCATGGTAGTTACTGGCATGCCACTACATCTCGCAACTTTACATCTCTTTAGAATTAGTTGCAACCTTTGCAAAAAGATGTAAGATCGCAGAGCCACAAGATCGAAAGTCTATGTACAGTCTATATAACAGTCAACCGATTTGTCACATCTAAATTTTTATATATAAAACTATAGCAAAAAAACATATAGAATTACATATAAACTTTGTTGCGATGATGTTTCTTCCCTTACATATTAACTTTAAATTAAATTTTATGAATAAATACATCAAGAAGAGGGGAATAAAATGCTTTCGAAATTGAATTAAAATTTTGCAATTTTTGTACAATTTAAAAATGTAACTCTGCCAAAAGAAAAAATTTAACAGTTTTAAAACAATAATTATATGTAAAATTATATTCTGAACAACTTCAGTTAGGAAGTCAAAAAAGGTTATCTTAGTAAAAAAAAAAAGTTTTCTATGTATGGTG